CTACTTGACCCAGATCAAACATTCCTAATTGCCAAACACCTGTTCTGCCAAGAATTACACTGACTTGCGAAACTCCGACCTCTGGGCTCCACAATGTCTAGCGTCCACTCAATTTACCTGGTCAAAAGGGCCCCGCTCAGTCTCTACAGTCTGGTCAGGAGAAACGAAATTCTCTAGCCCCGGTGTAATTGCGTAACATTACCCAAGACTCAGTCGCTTGGTCTGGACTAAGGACTGGAAACATTAAAATCAATTTGGTTTAAAGTAATATTAGGGTAAAAGGCAGAGTAAATATAATCCTCTCTCTTTAGAACCAGAAGAACTTATTACAAGTACTAACTTCTGGAACCACTGAGATCGTCTCGTGACAGTGTTTCCAATCAAAGTCGGGGGTGAAGAAAATTAACAGTGTACATGCAAATAAACACCGTCTATAAAACGAATGTGCACGCAAAACTCAAGTTCTAGAATAAGTCTGATGTCCTGAATTGCACTAAAGCCCAGAACTGGCCCCACGGAGTTTACAGCTGGTGAACGAAAAAAAAAAAAAAGAAATGATACCCAAGTACCAAGGGACTTTTTTAAACATTTCCAACATTACACAACTTTGAACTGCAGGTCCTCCCGGCCTTCAATGGGTAGCGGGTAAATGTCATAGGACGGTCGGTGTGTTACTGACCACTTTACACACTAAGTGCCAACTGATTTGTAAAATATGTCTAGTCCTATATGCCCAGTAAGAATTAAAGTGTGGAATAGGTTCCTTTACTTTCTTTTTTATCATTCGGTTTAATGTCCGAATGTGTGTCATTTTTTACCCTGCATAATTTCAACCTGAGAGACTGATACCCAGTGTTTCAAGTCAGCAATTTTTCTATGCGAATCCGTCGTGGCCACATCGCACAAACTCCGCTGAACCGTACACCGGACGGTTGCCAAATCACCGGCTGTCCACTGTGGGTGAGTCATTGCGACGTCACCGGTGTCCACTGTGGGTGTGTCGTTGCGACGTCACGGGCTGTCCACTGTGGGTGAGTCATTGCGACGTCACGGGCTGCCCACTGTGGGTGTCGTTGCGACGTCACGGGCTGTCCACTGTGGGTGTCGTTGCGACGTCACGGGCTGCCCACTGTGGGTGTCGTTGCGACGTCCCCGGCTGTCCACTGTGGGTGTCGTTGCGACGTCACGGGCTGCCCACTGTGGGTGTCGTTGCGACGTCACCGGCTGTCCACTGTGGGTGTCGTTGCGACGTCACGGGCTGCCCACTGTGGGTGTCGTTGCGACGTCACCGGCTGTCCACTGTGGGTGTCGTTGCGACGTCACCGGCTGTCCACTGTGGGTGTCGTTGCGACATCACCGGCTGTCCACTGTGGGTGAGTCATGCGACGTATCTGCTGTGTACTGTTCGGGGTGGGGAAGGGGGGGGGGGGCTGGCACGCATACAGTGACAATGATCGACGACCCTACTTGACTGACTTTCTACCCCACTAGGACATTACACAAGTGATAAACACCCGATGACACAAAGTACCACCATGTGGATGAGGACGCCGTGGAGAGGTCCCAGAAATTGCGTTCAGACAATTGGCCATATTTATGGCCTGCCTATATTGCAGCCCCTGGCAAAATCCAGGGTGGGGCTTCAAACAACAACAAAATTTGTCCTAAAAAGGACGAAACTTTAAAATAATAAGACACTTGGGGAATATCTTCCTCAAATACACTTCCTGTTTATTTACTTTGTGTGTAGAGCCATCAACTGTCACGTGGATATGACACATTGCCCAAAGCGTTCATCACGTGATTTACTGTTGACATACAAATTAGACAGGGTTCCCCCACATAACCCCGATTCAATTACTAATATTAGTCGAGCAATGTCCGGTTTAAAGTCAGTGCGTCTTGGTTTCATTTCGACAAGATCGTGCTATTTGTCACTGTGTTTCCTGGATATGATAATATATTAATTCACAGCGTGTGTACAGCATTATCTTTGGTGATTGTATTATTGTTCTCGTGACAAAAACGCCTGTGTAACGTGAATGGTTGGTTGACTGATTGGTTAACTGATGAGTTCGCTATTTCATTGTTTTATAGGTTATTTGGTTAGACGATTGGTTAAATGACTGATTGTTTCTTTGTAAGGCTGAATGGCTAGCTAGCTGGTTGGTTGGTTGGCTGGTTGATCAGTTGGTTGGTGTGTTTATTCATTAAGCTGCTGTGCATTATGATACGTCAACAATGTGAAATACCTATAGGTGAGTGCGTGACGTTTAACCCCCCTATGGCCGTACAACGGTGACACAAAGTGCCTCTATTTATATGAGAATCCCCATGGCGCGTCCCAGAAAACTCATGCAACCGTCAGGTTAAATTAGCCCCCCCCCCCCCCACCCCCCTCCCCCGACGATAAAATTATATTAGGGCCCCCTGACGATAAGGTTACATTAGGGCCCCCGTGGCGGTTACGGAGCAACCTGAAGTCCAGTCGGGCTGCGTCTTTTCATATACAACAAAATATTATTTGTGTACTCATAGGTCATGAAAACGTAAAAATTAATACCCTCTCCGAGCTGCTGATAGAGATTCATCCCAACGGAGAGCTACATGACAAGACAAGCCGTGGGAGATGGCAGCTGTCTTTTGGCTCGACTGACATCCAGCAAAGAAGAAGAAGAAGAAGAAGAAGAAGAAGAAGAAGAAGAAGAAGAAGAAGAAGAAGAAGAAGAAGAAGAAGAAGAAGAAGAAGAAGAAGAAATAGAAGGAAGAAGAAAAAAGAAGAAGAAGAAGAAGAAGAAGAAGAAGAAATAGAAGGAAGAAGAAAAAAAAGAAGAAGAAGAAAAGAAGAAGAAGAAGAAGAAGAAGAAGAAGAAGAAGAAGAAGAAGAAGAAGAAGAAGAAGAAGAAGAAAAGAAGAAGAAAAGAAGAAGAAGAAGAAGAAGAAGAAGAAGAAGAAGAAGGAGGAGAAGAAGAAGAAGAAGATACTTTCTGTATTTTGAAGTTTCCCACATTCTCTACACATCCATTATAATTCTTCTTTCAGCTTTCTTGACCCTCAATCCAAGACACCCCTCTCCTTTTGAATAGGAACCTATATCTCTAACTCTTCACTACAACTCACCGCATTTCATCCCCTCCCTTCTCCTTTCCCTTCCTGGTCTCTATGGGGGCTATATATAGAGCGACATCTATCCTAGTTCATTCCCTTATGAACCCCACCCCCACCCCCAGCATGGGGGGGGGGGAGGCATTTTTTTTAAAGCCTCACCCCGGTTGTCATTGGGGGCCCTAATGTAATCTAACCGGGTTTCCGCGACTTGTGCCCCGGGGATTCTCGTCCGAACGGTGGCACTTTGTGTCACCTGGTGTTAATCGCTGGTTGCGCGGCTCTAGTGGGGTTAAACGTCACTCAGTGTTAGTTCATTCTTTTATCAAGTTTGGAAGCGGTTCAAGAACGTTATATGTACTTTGAAAAAAATTCTCGTTTATGGTTTTTTGAGTTTGATTACATAATATTTAATTACCGTACATAGGTAATTCAGTGTAATTTATTTTAATGTTATACCCCCCCCCCCGCCCATTTTTGTTTAGTGATGGGGGTTTTGTAGCCGAAATGTCCTTTGTTTACTTATTGTCTTGTGATCTTAAAGGTTTTAATTTTTTTTATTATTATTAACAGACACACAAACGCACATACCGACACACTGATGTTTATGTTTGATATTTAAAGACAGTCTTTATCATGAGAGTTTTGTGTCATTCCAATGATACTGTCTTTATCATTCCTAAAATATTTCTTTATCATTCATATAAAACTGTCTTTATCATTCCTAAAGCGACTGTCTTTATCGTTACTATGAGAATGTCTTTATAATTCTTAAGGGAATATCTTTATTCCTAAGAGACTGCATTTATCTTTCCTAAGAGATTGCATTTATCATTCATAAGAGACTCCTTATCATTCCTAAGAGAATGATGGATGTGGCAGATGATCTCCAGATGGGTGTATCAGACGCAGGACATCTTGCTCAGGATAGGAAGGTTTTCCGGAGGGTTGTTATGGCAGCGAGGTTCCGCGAGGGACATGCTACTGAATGAATGAATGAAGAGATTGCATTTATCATTCATAAGAGACTCTTTATCATTCCTAAGAGAATAGCTTTATCATTCTTATATCACTGCGATGAGACTTTTTTTCCTTCCATGTGACTACTAGAGTGGCCCGGGGGGAGGGGGGATGTTGCGCTCTGACCAGACTACACGAATGTATGTAAGTACCGAAACACTGAAACCAAGTACCGACAGAGAAATGCTTTCCTGGCACGTATCCCTCCTTTGTCTCGGCTGATGAATTACAAGCGCCAACAATTCCACCCTGGTGTCTTCCACATTTAGACTCGTCAGACACTCAGTCAAACGACTACCCGTTAGGCAAACACCCCGCAGTAGTCGCGCACGGGCAATACCAACTCACCATCACTCCCCGACTCCGCGCTTCCCATCTCTCTAACACACAACTGTCAGCATCGAAAATAGAGAATTTGGTAGTCGATGTCGCCCAGTAGCTTGACATTTTTTTATTATGCCGGTGTTTTGATGTTTTCAGCAACCGTTAAACGCCACCGCCCCATCAGATAAGCAAGCACTTTATAAATGCCGAAATGCAAATGTAAATAAATGAAAGGCACACATATGGATTCTTTTCACAACAACACATTCTGACCCTGTCAAGTCGTTAGAGATTAATCAGATTTGGATTAGAAAGGCGCGCTTTATTTTTTAACGTTTGCTACTTACATATAGTTTGATCAATAAGAAGTTTAGGAACAGTTTGGTGAACTTTTAGATTTGAAACTTGATCGTGTGTTGGCTTCAGACTTGTCGGTGCTGTGGAATATTCAAATTTGGTCGTGTATTGGGTGAAGCTTGTTGGTGTGTGGTTCTTGCTAGTCCAGCCGTGTGTATTTCCTGAAACTGGTTGTTGACAGATTCCTTCTCAACATGGGATGTTTTAAGTCAAAGGTAAGGATGATAGATGATGTAGGCCAGTGGTGAGGGGACAGGCGAGAGAGGAAAGAAGGGACGGCAGGGTTAATGAAGGATGTTGGGGGGGGGGGGGGGAGCAACAAGAAATGAGTAGAATGAAATGGGTATTGGCAGAAGTGAGAAAGACAGAAAGGTAACTCAGGAGGTAAAGGGAAGATGATAGAAAATGAGAAAAAAAACACGATGGACAAGCGCAGACAGGCATACACACACACACGCGCGCGCGCGCGCTCGCGCACACACACACACACACAGACACACACCGAGAGCAAAAGTAGAAAAATTAAAATGTATGACTCAGGGAGGGAAAAGAAGCAGGAAACGATGAAGGAATGTCATAAGGAGGCAGATGTTAGGTTAATAAGAAATAGCAGACGAAAAGATGCGAGAAGGATTGGGGAATGCTACTGGAAATGAAGGAAAGGATGCGAGAAGGATTGGGGAATGCTGCTGAAAATGAAAGAAAGGATGCGAGAAGGATTGGGGAATGCTGCTGAAAATGAAGGAAAGGATGCTAGAAGGATTGGGGAATGCTGCTGGAAATGAAGGAAAGGGTGCGAGAAGGATTGGGGAATGCTGCTGAAAATGAAGAAAACAAAGGAAAGGATGTGAGAGTGTTGGGAAAAGGAGACCAAAAAAGGGGGGGGGGGTGTGGAGAGTGATGAAGGGAAA